GGCAGCACTGGCCCCGGGCAGAGGCCCCGGGCCTCACGGCCACCTTGGCCGTCACAGGCGCTGGCTCTGCAGGGGGTGGCGGTGACCCCTTAGGAAGCCGGGAGCTGAGTGCTGGGCGCTGGGCAAGAGGCCAGGCGATGTCCCGGGGAGAATGGCCACCCTGAGAGCCACAGGCCGGGGTCTCTGAGCCAGAGCTGCTGCCTGGGAGACCCCAGGGCGGGCCGGGGCCCTCACCTGGGACCTGTGAGGGGGGTGTGTAGCCCCTCCCGAGCTGGGAACTGCAGGGCAGGCCCTGTGTGGCCCAGGACTCCCAGCCTCACACGCGTCCACTCCCGCCCCAGGGCCTGCTGGGAGCAGCCTGTGGGAGGGGGTGCCGTCGGGCACGGGCGGACCTCCCCTCGGCCGTGACCCCTGTGGTGGACGCTTGCTCCGGGTGCCTCCTCTCCCCTGGGGTCCCAGTGTGGCTGCTCCAGAGCCGGAGGGTGGGGGGCTCCAGGTCTCCCGTGGACGGCCATGGAGCCCTTGCAGGGCTGAGGAAGCTGCTGGCGCAGCAAGAGGTCCCCGAGGGCCCGCAGCCGGCCGTGTGCCTGGCGTTGGACACCCAGAGCGAATGGCCGTTCCGAGCACCTCGTCCACCCCACGCAGGTTTGTGCCCTGTCCAGTCATGCGGGGACCACGCGGGGACCGTGCCGTGAGCATCGCTTCTCTCACTGTTTGTTCGCACGCTCTGCAGAAGGAGCGCACCTGAGCTTCAGCCGCGCGCAGGCACCAGGAACCCCGAGGAGCCACCCCGCGGCAGCTCCCGGGCCCTGGCTCTGTTTCTCTGTGCGCCGATGTCATTTTTGGAGACCTGATACAGGAGTCCCGCCCTCTCCTGCGAGGCCGACCGGCTCCCAGCTCAGCACCTGCCTCGGGAACTGCGTGGTGGCGCAGCGGCTTCAGCCCGTAGCAGAGCACTGGTTCCAGTCCCGGCTGCTCCACTTCCGGCCCAGCTCCCTGCTGATGACCTGGGAGAGCAGTGGGAGACGCCCAAGCACTTGGGCCCCTGCACCTGCGAGGGAGACTGGGATGCAGCTCCAGACTCCTGGCTTTGGACTGGCCCAGCTCCAGACATTGTGGCCATCTGGGGAGTGAACCAGTGGGTGGAAGTTGTCTCTCTCTCTGTAACTGCCTTTCAAATATATAAATAAATCTTCAAACACCTCAAAGCCAACGGCTGTGGGAGAGGCAGCCGCTGAGCTGGGGGTGCCTTGGGCAGTTCAGTTCCCAGGGTGAGCTCTCACGAAAGGACAGGAAAGCCGTGCCCCCGTGCGCCCACTCCTGAGCGCACGCCCGAGTTGGTGTCCGGGGCGCCCTGAAGCCGAGACAGCACAGGGGCCGTGAAGGCTGGGGGGACGCAACCCAGGCCACAGCACCCCAGCTCAGAGTTGTGGTTGCCTGTGAGTCTACACTCGCAAAGCCATCCGCCCCCGGCATGCCCAGCCCAGGCTGAGCCGCCTCCCTGCCGCGGCTCGCCCCAGGACACCGCCAACGCTTTGGATGCCCCCGAGGGTGAGCCGGTGCTGTCGGAACCACCTGTGCCGGACAGGCTCTGTCCCAGCACAAGCGATGGATGGTGCCAGCAGACATGGCTCGGTGTGGACCGGTCGGCAGGATGGGTCACACAGGGCGTGTCCAGGCGGCCGGGAGGCCCGCAGGCCCGCAGCAGCTCCCCTGGGGGTGCCAGCTTCCCCAGCTGTTAGGACCTCAGCCTGGGAGACGCAGGCTGCACCGGCATTTCTTAGCCTGGCCGCGTCGGGAGCCGCGAGGGCAGCCTGGTTTACTATGGTTTTCAGTGCTGCCCGGTGCTGGCGCTCATGGCCATCAGCTCTGGCCACCCATTGCCGCTGCGGCTTTGGCTTCCGGGAGGAACCCAGCCCAGGGAGAAGGGTCTACTTTTCAGGTCTGAGGCAGAGCGGGCCTCGCCCGTGGCTGCTGACGCCACACGGGCGGCCCCCCAGCCCCCCAGCCCCGGCTTCCGCGGAGCTCCTGCTGCCGGCCGCGTGGCTGCAGCCCCGTGTGTTTGTCACTCGTGGTCGCTCCCCTCTGGCGCAGCAGGGCCTCACTTCAAGCCCCCCCAGTCTTGGCCGCAGGCTCTGTGTGCCAGGTGTGGCCCTGGGAGAGGCCGCTGAGCGTGGACGGGAGCCCGGGAGGCTGCAGCCCCTGGCGCACCGCAGGTCAAGCCGCGCCAGGTCGGAGAGGAGTGAACACAAAAGCCCAAGGAATCTGGTGATTCCTCTGCCCCAGGCTGCAGGACACAGCCCCGCCCCGCTGTGCAGGACACAGCCAGATGGACGCTCACTTCCACGGGAGCGGACCCCCAGCCGGGCCCCGGGGTCAGCGGCCAGCGCTGCAGGGCCACCGGCTGTCCCATCCACACCCACCACTGAGGGGATGCTGGTCCCCAGCCCAGACAGGCAGCCAAAGCCCCACCGCTCGCAGTCCCCTCCCCTGGTCCAAGCCGAGTGACCTGGGCACACAGCTGGGCCTGCCACGCGGGGTGAGGCCAGGGCTGCCTCCCACAGCCAGCAGGGGCGGTGCAGGCTGGGCCGGGGGCACGGCCCCTCCTCACAGCCCTCGCTACAGCTGCGCGTCTGGGATCACACACCGAAGGGTCAGGGTCCTCCCTTCCAGACCCCGCGCCAGGGCCGTGCCCGGAGCTGGTGCTCAAGATGAGGGTGAGGGCGTGACCCCCAGCACCCTGCCTCCCGCGGGGCGGCGCCCCACGTCCCACGCCGACCCCGCCTCGGCTGCGCCCCCCCAAGTGCTGCTGCCCAGACACACTTGCCACATCCCCGAGGGCTGTGGGGTGTGAGTGTGTCCCACAAACGAGAGACGGACGCCGGCCCCCAGCTGGGCCAGGGTCTGGGGCACATGGAACGGGCAGGACGAAGCCACCGTCCGGAGGGTGCGTTCGAAAGCCAGCCCGGGGCGGGGTGTGGCCCGGCACTGCCCTGTGCCGCGGGGGTGGCAGCTGGCAGCCGGGGGACCAGGAGCACCTCCAGACTGCCAAGGGAGGGATCCCCAACGTGCGAGCCTCCCTGGCCACAGGCCTGGCCCGTGGCAGGGCACTGTGTGGGTGACAAGGACAGTCGCAGCAGGTCATGCGTGGGGGCCAGGCTTCACAGGCTACGGGGCCTCCCGGGGATGCACCTGACCCCAGGAGAAGCTTCCCTTGGGGCCAGAACTGCCAGCTCCCTTTGGTGTCTTCTCTGCTTTCCGTCGCCCCCGAGGCTTCCGTAAGAGGCAACTCAGCTTGTGGGAAGCAGCGGGAGCTTCTGGGGACCCCACATCTGACGGCTGTGCCTGTCTACTCGTCCGGGAAACAGGTGGGCGCTGCCCCCACCGTGAGGGCCACACAGGGCAGAGGGCCGAGGCGCAGCTCTGTCACTGGCCGTGACGCCCCCACCCCTAGTAGCCGGGACATGAGCCTGGCCCCGGCCCCATGGGGCGAGGCGGGGAGGGCAGAGCGGCTCCTTGTTGCCCTGGTGGCCCGAGGCGCCCAGGCAGGCTGACCGGAGCCCAGGCCCCGTGCTGGTCAGCACAGGCCTCCCGGGCTGGGGTGCAGGGCCGGCCCCGCGGGGTTGCTGACCGTGCAGCTCCTGCATGAGCTCATGCCTTTCCCGAGAAATCCCCCTTAATGCCTCCATTCTCCCGGGGCGTATAAAGCAGGGCCGGCGCCCCGGCTGTCCACTGCACTGCCCAGCAGCCCCTGCCATCCTCTGCAGCCTCCGCTCCCCGCAGCAGCACCGCCGGCCATGGACGTCACCATCCAGCACCCCTGGTTCAAGCGCACCCTGGGGCCCTTCTACCCCAGCCGGCTGTTCGACCAGTTCTTCGGTGAGGGCCTCTTCGAGTATGACCTGCTGCCCTTCCTGTCGTCCACCATCAGCCCCTACTACCGCCAGTCCCTCTTCCGCACCGTGCTGGACTCCGGCATCTCTGAGGTAAGCGCCCCGGCGGGCGCGGCAGGCCTAGGGACTTCCGGAGAGCCGCCGCGGGCTTGTTCCACGGAGCCCGTGGGGACAGCCGCCCAGCCCGGGGGCCCCGCAGCGCAGCCTCCTCGCCCCTGCGAGGGGCCGGAGGAGGAGGGCGCCCGGCGCCCACCGCTGTCTTTTCCTCCATTAGCTCATGAGCCGTATGTGGTCTCTGATGCGCCAGCCTCATGCTGGAGACCCCAAGTACAACCCCGGCAACGCAAGTCCGGTGCCAGTGCGAGCTCCCGGGGGCCGCTCTCCGTCAGCACAGGAAGCCCGGGTGCGGGTGGGGAGCGGGGCTCCAGCCAGGGCCCTCAGGGAGCCCCCAGCGGCAGAGAGGCCGCGAGAGCTGCCTTCCTCCCCACCCTCAGCGGGGTGACAGGTGCCACGGCTGGGCTAAGTCTCCCCAACTGCCACGGTGCAGGGGTGCCCGAGCTGCGGGCAGGAGAGCGGTGTGAGGGCTCTGGGTGCCACGGTGGCCTGTGAGCCCAGCCCCGGGCAGAGACAACAGGACAGGAGCTTAGCACGGCCAGCAGTCAGCCTATAACCAGCGAGTTAGCCCATAATCGGTCAGCCCTCAACCAGCCAGTCAGCACTTAACCAGCTGGTAGCTCACAAACAGCCAGTCAGCCTTAACTAGCTGGTCAGCCCTTAACCAGCTGGTAGCCCCTAACCAGCCAGCCCTTCACCATAACTGCCAGTCAGCCCCCACCAAGCACACAGCCGCCAGCGGCACCGCCCGCCCCACCCGGCTCTGCGGAGCAGCGCAGCGTGGCGCCCGGGACCCCGCGGCGGTCTCCGTCCCTCGGGGCTCGTGGGAGGAGGCGGCTGGGGAGTCCCACGCGGCTCTGGCCTCCAGGTGCGGTCCGACCGGGACAAGTTCGTCATCTTCCTGGACGTGAAGCACTTCTCGCCCGAGGACCTCACCGTGAAGGTGCAGGAGGACTTCGTGGAGATCCACGGCAAACACAACGAGAGACAGGTGCGGCGGCGCGGGGATGGGACAGGCGCGCTCGCGGCCCCGGAGCCCCGCCACGGCTGCTCCCAGCTGCCCCCAGCCCCACCCAAGCCGTCCGAGTAGCAGGGTGGGGCTGGCAAGGAGCTGGGGAGACCGGGCCCCAAGCCAGCAGGGTTGCACAGAGCCCTTGGCAAACGGCTGCCCCAGGGCCTGCCCACAGGGACACGGCCAGCTCCCAGGGCCCCTTTGCGGCCAGTACCTGGTGTCCCGAGTCATGGCTGGCTGAGCTCAGGCGGCGGGCAGGGGCTCCCCCTCTGCAGTCGCCCACTCTGCCGCATGGGAGTCCCTGGCACTGGGGCAGGGGGGAGGCAGCACCTGGGCGGAGCTGGAAGCCCAGACGGGGTCCCACGATGGGCAAGCAGAGGGGGGCCTGTGTGCAGCCTCCGGGCTGAGGCCGTGGCACCTCCTGGCCGGGTTGTGTGTTCCTGGCTGCGGTGGCTCGGGGAGGGGCACCCCCAAACCCTTCCTCTTCAGCCCCCTCAGCCCAGGCCAGAGGACGAGTCCAGGGTGGGGGAGTCAGGGTGTCCAGGGGAGTGGGGAGCTTTCCAGGGGTGCCAGGCTGGACTCAGAGGGCATTTTGGGGCACCGTGGTGAGTGGAAACAGTGGCCACCCCAGGGCCGTGGGCGCCCCAGGAAGGTCTGAGGTCACAGCCCCTCTGTAGAGGCAGGGAGGCCAGGTCGAGGTTCCAGGGGGGTTAATCGTGCCTCCCGGGAGGGGTCCAGGCCTTGGGGGACGCGTGCCCCTCCCCCCACGCCGCTGCACCGCCCCTGACGGCGCCTCCCTGGCCTCTGCCCAGGATGACCACGGCTACATTTCCCGCGAGTTCCACCGGCGCTACCGCCTGCCTTCCAACGTGGACCAGTCGGCGCTGTCCTGCTCGCTCTCCGCGGACGGCATGCTCACCTTCTCCGGCCCCAAGGTGCAGTCCGGCCTGGACGCTGGCCACAGCGAGCGAGCCATCCCCGTGTCCCGGGAGGAGAAGCCCAGCTCGGCGCCCTCGTCCTGAGCCCGCTGCCCCCACCGAGGCCCTCCGGTGCCTGGGCCGGGGGGACCCCAGAACAGGCGTGGGGCTCGTCTTCCTTCCCTTCCCTTCCCTTCCCGCTCATCTCCTCGGGGGAGTGAGGGTTTGAGAGAGGGGCACCCAGGGTGGTGGTGGTCCCCTGCTCCGTGAGGCCTCGTCCTGGGGCTGCTGGTGAGAGGTCAAAGCAGGTGACCAGGCCCTGAGAACACCACTAGCGACACTCTGACGGCTTCCGGACTGCAGTGGGGCCGGGGGCGTCCTGACACCCTGGCCGCGGCCCCGCCCGCCTTCCCCGGCGCCTCCTCTCTCAGACCCTCTTCCTCCACCCTCCCTCTACGTAGTGCCACTGCTGGGGACTCCGGTCACCCATGGCAGCCAATAAAGAGCAGGTGACACAAGCAACACGCTGTCCTGTGGTCTTGCTGGGCGGGGCGTGGGAGGGAGGGGTGGAGCCTGCGAGGGGCGGATGGGTGGGGTGTGGCCTGGGAAGGATGCACGGGGGTCCAGTGGGGAAGGGGTGGGACCTTGGGGAGGGGTAGGGTGGGGGAGGGAGAGGCACCATGCACCTGCCGGCCCCAGGCCTCCTGCACCCTCTCCTCCCCCTGGCCCCAGGGACAGCGGGAGGAGAGGGAGGGACCCCACGTGGGGGCTTCCATTGTCTTCTTGGGGTTCACCCTCGTGTCCCTGGCTAGCGCAGCCTGGGCCAGTGTGGGAGGCACTGCCTCCCTGTCGCCCCTCCCTGGATGGGACACTGGCTCTCAGGGACTCTGGTGACCAGGGGCTGAGGGTCCAGGCAGGCTGGCCTCTTGCCGTCTGTCCAGGCCCCTGCCACAGGCAGGCGCCTCCACCTCCACCCAGGGAAGGCTGGCACTGCCGTCTGGAGCCAGCAGGTGGCTCCCACGACCCACGGAGGCACAGGCCGGGGCCAGGCGTGGTCCCTGGGAAGCAGCCCCACAGCCGCATGGGCTGCCAGGGCCGTCACCCTGCCTGGGACCCACTGCCTGGGAGGTTGAGACTGAGGGCCCCAGGGACCCATGGAGCCCAGGGAAGGCCATGGGTGGCGCCCGCATCCTCCTCCTGGGAGAAAGGACTCTCACAGGGTGTCAGAGTGTTGGAGCTTGGGGTGTCGGGGTGTCAGGGTGTCGGGTGTCAGGGTGTTGGGGTGTCAGGGTGTCGGGGTGTCAGGGTGTCAGGTTGTTGGGGTGTCAGGGTGTCAGAGCGTCAGGATGTCAGGGTGTCGGGTGTCGGGGTGTCTGGGAGTCGGGTGTCGGGGTGTCAGCGTGTTGGGTGTCTGGGTGTCAGGGTGTTGGGTGTCAGGGTGTCGGGGTGTCAGGGTGTCAGGGTGTCGGGGTGTCAGGGTGTCAGGTTGTTGGGGTGTCAGGGTGTCAGAGCATCAGGATGTCAGGGTGTCGGGTGTCGGGGTGTCCGGGAGTCGGGTGTTGGGGTGTCAGCGTGTTGGGTGTCTGGGTGTCAGGGTGTCAGGGTGTCGGGGTGTCAGGGTGTCGGGTTGTTGGGGTGTCAGGGTGTCAGGTTGTTGGGGTGTCAGGTGTCGGGGTGTCAGGGTGTTGGGTATTGGGGTGTCAGTGTGTTGGGTGTCTGGGTGTCAGGGTGTCAGAGCATCAGGATGTCAGGGTGTCGGGTGTCGGGGTGTCCGGGAGTCGGGTGCCGGGGTGTCAGGGTGTCGGGGTGTCAGGGTGTCGGGTTGTTGGGGTGTCAGGGTGTCAGAGCATCAGGATGTCAGGGTGTTGGGTGTCGGGTGTCAGGGTGTCAGGGTGAAAGGTATCAGGGTGTCAGCGTGTTGGGTGTCTGGGTGTCAGGGTGTTGGGTGTCAGGGTGTCGGGTATCAGGGTGTCAGGGTGTCGGGTTGTTGGGGTGTCAGGGTGTCAGAGCGTCAGGGTGTCAGGTGTTGGGGTGTCGGGTGTCGGGGTGTCAGGGTGTCGGGTTGTTGGGGTGTCAGCATGTTGAGTGTCTGGGTGTCAGGGTGTTGGGTGTCAGGATGTCAGGGTGTCGGGTTTCGGGTTGTTGGGGTGTCAGAGCATCAGGGTGTCAGGGTGTCGGGTGTTGGGGTGTCCGGGAGTTGGGTGTCGGGTGTCAGGGTGTCGGGTATCTGGGTGTCAGCGTGTTGGGTATCTGGGTGTCAGGGTGTTGGGTGTCAGGGTGTTGGGTGTCAGGGTGTCGGGTGTCGGGGTGTCCGGGAGTTGGGGTGTCCGGGAGTCGGGTTGTTGGGGTGTCAGGGTGTCGGGTTGTTGGGGTGTCAGGGTGTCAGAGCGTCTGGGTGTCAGGGTGTCGGGTGTCGGGGTGTCCGGGAGTCGGGGTGTCAAGGTGTCAGGGTGTCGGGTTTCGGGGTGTCCGGGATTCTGGTGTCGGGGTGTCAGGGTGTCGGGCTGTTGGGGTGTCAGCGTGTTGGGTGTCTGGGTGTCAGGGTGTCTGAGCGTCAGGGTGTCAGCGTGTCAGGTGTCGGGGTGTCGGGGTGTCAGGGTGTCAGGTTGTTGGGGTATCAGGGTGTCAGAGCGTCAGGATGTCAGGGTGTTGGGTGCCTGGGTGTCGGGGTGTCAGGGTGTCAGGTGTCAGGGTGTTGGGTTGTTGGGGTGTCAGGGTGTCAGAGCGTCAGGGTGTCAGGGTGTCGGGTGTCGGGGTGTCCGGGAGTCGGGTGTCGGGGTAAGCATGCTGAACAGAAGGCAGGGAGGGGAGTAGTGCACACAGAACACACACACACACTCCCTCCACCTTTCACACACACACTGCATGCACTATACACACACTCACATACACTGCATGCAAGGTACACATTATATAGTACACGCACACACTATACACACACTACATACTACACACGCTATATGCCACATACACACTCCACACGCATCACAAGTGGCACCGCTTCCATCCTCCACACTCCACACACACTCCACACACACTCCACACACACTGCACACACACTATGCACTATATGTACTACATACTACACACACTACACACTGCATATCACACGCTACATACCACACAAAAACTACATACGAACACGCATACTACACACCACACACACTACACGCCCACACCCGGCACAACCCTGCACAACCCTGCACACACACACGCCCGCACCTCCCCATGCCTGTGGCCCAGCTCTCCGGCTCAGTGGCCTGGCCCTTGCAGAACCTCCTGGCTCCTGCCCGCCCAGCCGCGTGCCGCGTGCCGCGTGCCGAGTGCCGAGTGCCGCGTGTCTGAGGCGGGGAGGACTCGGGTCAGGGAAGCCACGGGTGCTCCCTGTGGGGCTGGGCAGTCACTCTGGCCAGCCAGGGCCCAGGCTCGCTGCTCCTCCCACCCCACCTGGCGCTCAGGGCGGCCTGAGCCCTGCAGTCCTGCTGGAGGTCCGGCCCCAGAGCTCAGGCCCTGGCTGGGTGGGGGGGAGCCGAGGCGGGGGTGGAGTGGCCGGCAGGTGACACGGGTTGGGGAGGGGATGCCAGACACAGGTCGGGTGGACGGCCTCAGCCATCCCGGGCTCCAGCGCCAGGGGACCACGCCAGGCGCTCACTGCACGGCCAAGCCCTGAAGCCTCCCGTGGCCGTGTGAGCTGCGTGCTGTCCCCATCCAGTCCTTGGGGTTTGCCAGGAGCCGAGGTCAGCAGGAGGGGCACCTCTTCTGCCCGCAATGGGCCCTTCCGGCAGCTCAGGCTCAGGAAGGGCTCAGCCCGCCCAGGACCCGGCCCCCTGCCCTGGCCCCCGGCCCCTGGTACATGCCCTCTCCTGCAGTGGCTGTCAGACTCGGGAGTGTGATGCCTGGGGCTCCAGATGGGACGATCCACACAGAGGTCAGAGGGCGCCCCAGGCCGGCTGCAGCCAGGTCTCCTGGCCGAGGGTCTGCTCAGATTTGCCCAGGGGACCCGTCAGTGTCACGGCCCCGGCAGGAGGCTGTGCTGACGCCTGGTGGCCGGCTGGGGTCTGACCGGCCATCGGAAACCTCGGGTTGCTGGGTCCGCCCTGCGTCGTTCCCACGGGCACTGGAGGATGCACTGCCCTCTCCTCTCTGGGGTCCCCTGCCCTCCCCGGGCCTCCCTGGGTGGCTGTAGCCGCCGCGGCCAGCTGGTCCTCCCGGGCCCCCCAAGCCGAGCTGTCTGAGGGACAAGGCACTGGAGCTCTGCGGTGTCTCCCTCTGCCGCCCACAGCTTCCGAGGTCTGCGGCCCGACTGCTCCCAGCTTACCCACGTGCCCCCTTGTTGCCTGGGCAGTCCCGGGCGGTCAGAGCCCAGGCCCAGCCACCTGCTGGCGAGCCCGTCGGGTCAGGGTGGGATTGGCCAGGTCTGGAGAACCGTCTCCCCTGGGGGTGGAGTCCAGAGCTCCTACCTTGGGTGATCGCTCCGGGGCCCCAGGCCCAGCCCCCGGAGGGAGACGCTGGGAGAGCAGTGGCTGCCTCCTCTGGTGGGGGAGGGGCAGGGAGCCCAGGAAGCTGCCTGTGGGTCCCAGGGCGAGGTCTCACCCCACCGCACCTGACACCTGCGTGTCGCTCCGTGGTTTAGGAGCAAGAATGATCTGTTCCCCTCCTGGGATCTCCTTGTGTACTCCAGCTGTGGCATCATCACCACCATCACCACCACCACCATCACCACCACCATCACCACCACCATCACCACCATCACCATCACCACCATCACCACCATCACCACCACCACCACCATTATCACCACCACCACCAACATCACCATCACCATCATCACCACCACCACCATCACCACCATCACCACCACCATCACCACCATCACCATCACCACATCACCACCACCACCACCATCACCACCACCACCACCATCATCACCATCTCCACCATCACCACCACCACCATCACCACCATCACCACCACCATCACCACCATCACCATCACCACCATCACCATCACCACCACCATCACCACCACCATCACCATCATCACCATCACCACCATCACCACCATCACCACCACCATCACCACCATCACCATCACCACCATCACCACCACCACCACCATCACCACCACCATCACCACCATCACCATCACCACCATCACCACCATCACCATCACCACCATCACCACCATCACCATCACCACCACCATCACCACATCACCACCACCACCATCATCACCATCACCACCACCACCACCATCATCATCACTACCATTATCACCATCCTCACCACCACCACCACCACCACCATCACCACCACCACCACCACCATCACCACCACCACCATAATTGCCATCACCATGTTCACCTCACTGTCTTCACCATCATCACCACCATCATCACCATCAACACCACCATCATCAATATCATAAATATTCTTTTCTTACTTTTAAATTTTTTATTCATTTATTTGAGAGGTAGGGAGTGGAGAAGAGAGAGTGGGAGAGAGAGGGAGAGGGAGAGGGAG